AACATACCAAAACCTGGCAAGAACTTTTGATCATAAAACCTCCATGTATATTATACAATCATTATCAGAGTCCTGTCAATTTACTGTTACGGTAGAACAACATAGAATAACATCATTCCTGATGATGACATAATTAATGTCGAAATATTGAATCCCGACACAATGGTGTGCATTTCGATACTTGTAGAATAACATTAGCCCCTTTGACACAGAGCTGCAGTACGGTATTAATACCGGATTTTATTTATTTTTCTTGTTTGTGTGTATTATGATTACTTTCTGGTCACTAGACTAATCCGAGCATATAATCTTTGTCGATTGTAGGCCTACTCCTAATTTGAATATGAAGAGAGTCAATTCCCTGTGATAATTACAGAATAGCCTTAATATCAGCTATCCTTTAAGGGAGAACTTCAAGTTCATTTGAGATTAAAAACCCAAACTCTTTTTTCGTTTAGGTTTCATGTAATGCTTATGCTCATGTTATTACGTACTGTTTCTTTATGAGAAGACAATACAGAAAAAACCTTCCCAATCCGTCCCATCTGAGTGCGATAGCCAGCGCAGTTCTGGAGAAGCGCCTGTTATTATATAAAATAAAATGTAAAATATATTAGGTCATACATAACCACCCCCCCCCCACCCAAAAAAAAAAAAAACACACTTACGGTATAAACACACAGTTGCTACCTCTTTTCCTCTACATTCAAAAAATCATCTAATCGTTGATGCACAATTAATAGTGGAATTTTTAATCAGAACTGGTCGCTCTCTTGGGTGTGTATTCCGGTTAAACTAAAGTCTTAGAGTTGACCACCATGGAAGTACTATCTATATCATAATTACGTCTTATTTTAAAGCCTGTGGACACAATGCAAAACGGAGGTACTCAATAAACGACTAGGATTCGAACTACCACCGATCTGAAAATAGATCATTAAAGGCAAGCGAGTTCTGCAGTCACGTCTGCGCATGTTCACGAGCATGTTCACGAGCCTCAGTAATTTTTGGATCGATGATGGACGCCAGCCGTTTTTGTTTTTTGTTGTTTTTTTGTTGTTTTTGTTTTGTTATAAATAATCACTATCTAGGCTTATTATTATATAAGTTAGGGCTACATTATACGTTTATTATTTCTGTATGAGTGTTCATGAATGAATGAATGCGTGTATTATGGTCTACTTTAGGGCTCCTATGCGGTATGCTTTATTTCTTTTTATAGGGGATAGGATATAATGTTAAGTACCGGTATTGTACATTGTATTGTTCAAAAGTGTTATCCTTGTAATTATCTTAATCACACTCATAGGGCCTACATTCTACAAATGAAATTATGTAGCGAGCTTCTCTAATGTGTCTCTGTCGGGATTCGAAACTGCAACCTTTTGCTACATACATACACACACACACACACACACACACACACACACACCCCCACACACGCACAGATGAGTGATATTAGGAACAAGGATTGTAATAAAACAAAGATAGGGTAGCGTGGATATGAAAGCGTAAGCAATGCGTAGTGGATAATAATAAACTAGCCAATCAGAGTGAGTGGTACTGTAAGATATAGAACTACTGTATATGATAAACAAAAAATAATAACAAGATAATAACAATCGAGATCATGAAAACGTTCGTGTACTCAATAAACTGCTTTTGGCTATACTAGACACCTCTCAAGAGTTTTTATTTATATTTATGTTTGCCGATACACCTTTTAAGTTTTATTATATATATATATATATATATATATATATTTTTTATATATATATATATAGGCCTATATCAATTTAATTCAACAACACATTTATTTTCTTCCAAAGGCACAAGAAAATACAAAATTATTACAAAAATTTGGAAGAAGGCCAGGTCCGAGAAGATGTTTGAAAAAACATCTTATGTTGGGCAGGCCTGAAGAAAAAAAGGAGGAGGATGGAGAAAAACAGTTCAATTGGTAACAGCACGATGAATTTCAAATCAAACAAAATTTATTAATTTGAAATTATGTGTTTATTAGGTTTATTAGAAAAAAGCTCTGACAGGAACAGCATTGGTAACTGAGATTGGTAAATTGTTCCAAATAGAGGGACCCGTATATCTAACGTTGTGTTGTCAAATAGTTTGTGTTATGATTACGGATGTGAATAACAGTTCTAGATCGTGTAAATGAGAACGAAAAGAAGAATTAGGCATAAACATGTTACTTAAATGATTGGGGAGGATCGAATGCATGGCGAATGGAAAATACGGGAAGAATGAGACCGTGGTGGAGAGCCAGATATGATCCTATTAGCCCTTAGTAGTAGTAGAATTTGAAGTTTGTTGATGTTAGATGGATATGTATTGCCCCAAACAATGTTGCACTAGCTCAATAAGGACGAATGAGAGAGCAGTAGCGAATACGAAGAACATTACAGGTAATAAATGAGGAAAGTACAGAAATAATGCCAAGGCTTTTGGAAAATTTATTTTCAACTTCGCTTATGTGACTTTTCCAAGTGAACCCACTGTCTAAGTGCACTACTACAAATCCACAAATTTTGCTGAATGAACAGGGAGTATTTCGTGATTATCGATAAACATTTTGTAGGCTGAAAGATCGACACTTTTGAGGTTTTTTGGGGTCCCAAACAGGATAAAGCTATATTGTGGTTGACTGAAAGTTTGTTCGCAGAAAAGTACTGCAACATGGGAATCAAATTGGCGTTTTAGTAATGATTAATTATGATTGAATATTTTGGTTGGAACAGCAAACCGTTGTATCATCGGCATAGAAAAAGAAATTGAGCAATTTAGAGGACAGATGGATATCGTTAATTATAAAATAAACATGAGAGGACCCAGTAATGAACCTTGGGGTACTCCACATGTGATTGAGCTGAATTTGGATATAGAATTACAATATTTGGTACATTGGGCACGATTTGAGAGGTGCGGGTCCACGTATTCCGTAGCTATTTATACAAAAGGATATTGTAATCAATTGTATCAAAGACCTTGGAAAGATCTCTAAAAGACCAATCGCAAGATGTGGTTTTCAAGAGCATTAACTATATTATTTGTTAGATCAATGAGGGCCTTGAATGTAGACCTACTGTGATTTTTCCTAACCAAACCGTTTGTTATAGAGTGTGTCATATTTAGAAATACAGTAAATGAGAAGCGGCGATCGTATGTAACTCTTTTCAGTGCCTTTGAGAATGGATAACATTGAGACAGGGCGATAGTAGTTGCATAGATCGGATTTTATGCCAGAGACTTGTAGTGGTACCGCGTGCTAGCTTCATCCTGTCTGGGAACACACTGTTGGATATGACAAGATTAAAATAGGCCTATGAAAATGGTAGAAAGATGAGATTAGCAATGTGTTTGATGGCTTTGGTGTGAAAATCGTATCGGTACCGACAGATTAAATTGTTCGTTTCAAAGGATTTAAGCACTTGTATCACTTCAGTCTCATTGACTGGGGTAAAAAAATACGGAAATTATGAGTTGGGTTTGGTAGAAAGTCTTTAAATAATTTATTAACATGGAAACTTGCAAGCAAGTGAAGGTCCAATTTTGACAAAGTATTCACGGCAATTACCAAAACGGCAATGAACCAAAACGGCAATGATAACAAAAACGGCAACAGACCAAAACGGCAATGACAAGTACAAAAACGGTAATAGGCATAGACCAAAACGGCATAGGACCGAAATCAATGCCAAGACTATAGCAAGCGCCACCGCGCGCGGACCGCAGTTTATAATATTTTTTGAACCGTTTTGGAAATTGTCCCGATAGGCAAATCGAATATTGCCATCTCTTTTTCCCGCTTGAATGTTTTAATGTTTAATCGCTGTTTTTTTTACACATCTATGACGAATTATTTAGATACTTCATTTTGTCTATATTTTAAAGTGCTAATTATTATTATTATTATTATTATTATTTCGCGTTTTTTACTTTTGACATAAAGAGCCTCATTTTGTCTGTATTTGAAAGTTTTATTTATTTAATGTTTACTGATTTTATATTGTTTCCCCCAATCTTTTTATTATTGAATTTGTATGTGATATTATTTATTATTATTATTTAATTGTTATTATTTTTATTTTTATTATTATTATTATTGTTGTTTGTTGTTGTCGTTCTTTCGCGTTTTTACTTCTATGGCAATTTAGCCTCATTTTTATCGTATTTAATCGTTGTACACTTTCATGTTTATAATTGGTTTATAATATCGCTTTTTTTTTACTTTTATGACATAAATTGTTTAGCCTCATTTTGTCTGTATTTTAAAGTTTTACTTCTGACAATTTAACCTCATGTTTTACCGTATTAATCGTGTACACTTTATTTATAATTGGTTTTATGTAGGGCCGTTTTGACTTAGGCCTACTGCCGTTTTAGTCTTGCCTGCTTCGACTTATTGCCCTTTTGGTCCATTGCCGTTCTGGTCAAAAAGTGTTGCCGTTTTTGTTTTTTTTGCCATTTTGGTCATTGCCGTTTTGACCAGAAAGCGAGTATTTGATTGTCGATTATTTTTTTTTGTTGATCAACAAGTTGATGGTCTTCCAAGTATTGTATCATTTTTATGTTTAATATTTATTAATTTAAGTAAGTCATACAACATATGTCTGAACACACACACACACAAACACATATATATTTTCAAAAGTTTAATTACATTTTTGCTTTGTACCTGTAAAATCTACCATCACAAAATGTTTTACTTATTAAAGCTTGAGTGTGAATATCTGTATACATACTTATTAAGTGCTAATTATTTGCTTGACAAAAAAAAAACAGGCTAAAGACTCAAATTACACATTAACTTAGCTTTTATTTATGCGAAAAACGAAACTGAATAGCTGTCATAGAACTGCTGTTGATGTCCCAACAGCAAATAGGTTCATTGTTTTATCCGATATTTTATAGTGGTACTGGCGTGATACTGTTCTGTTTGGTCGTCCATCTTTCCCCTCCCTCTTCATAATATTTATCTGAGGAAAAAATTTAAAATAAAAGTTTAATACTCTGTAATGTAAATAAATTTCAGCATAGACAACAAGAGCATTAGTGCGTTAAAACTGGATTCCCAAACGAATCACTTGCAAATTTTTATTTAGGAACGTATGGAGTGGTTATGGCGGGCTAGTTAGCTGGAGGTTGTGGGTTTGACTCTCACCAGAATCGCATGTCAAAAACATCGCGCTCCTATGATATTTCCTTATGCAAACTCAAATCGAAATTGCGTTAAAAAATGTTAATAAATATTTAAGAAATGTATATGCATTTGAACCAAGACCCCTTTACCTTCCATTTCTTTGTTCCACCAACTGAGCTATGGGGTATAAGCAGGGGCGGATCCAGGATCCAGAAATGTCCAAAAGGGGGAGGGGCCGGAAGGGGGGGCCAAAAATTGGGCCGATTGAGACAACACTGTCGTAGGGGGTCCGAAATTTTTGTGTTCTAGACGCCCGAACATAACATTTGAGGCATTCTGAGCTATCATTTTTTTTCTTTTTCTCTCTTTTTTCTTTTTTTACTTCCCAAAAGGGGGCCGGGCTGGCCCCCCCTAAATCTGCCCCTGGGTATAAGGACAAATTGGACATATAATTACAGTCACAACAAGTGACACAAAGCATTTGTGCCTTGGAAAAAAATATAAAAGCTATTTTATTCAATGCAGCTGTACTACTGCGCTAATGTACATCATTCTACACAATACAGTGTGTGACAACAAAATATGTGTAATAAAAATTTTTTAATTTCTAAGAAACAGGTGGCAATTGGAACTATATTTTCTCAAGGTATTACTAGGCTCTATATCCCTGGTTCTTAATTTGTTTGAAGGGCCAAATTATTTTTAGAGTTGATCTCACGGGCCAAAGATAATCTATGGCAAGTTGAAATCTATCGTTTATCGAGAAACTCTTTTCGCTAAGATACGTCAATTTGAAAGATTTTATGGCAATTTCAAATTATACTTTTAAATGGTACTGTACTACACCAGCAGTTGGGTTGGGTCATCAGTTTAACAGTTGTTAGCCAACTTTAGAGGGACAAAAGTTCGCTTAGAATGACATTTATTTATTTTTTTTTTCTTTGAAACATACAAAACGTTTTCAGTATCATCTGGTACACCAACGTTTTTACTATCTATGTAAAGTAAAGGATACCGTTCTATGTGAAGAAAAAAATCACAATAAACAGAACAAAACAAAGAGGCGGAACTTGACGGCACAAAAGTTGGTGTGTAATGCTAATTCCTGATGATGACATAATTAATATCGAAATTTGAATCCCAACACACGATGGCGTGCATTTCAATACTTGGAGTATGTATTATACTTTCTTATCTGAGATTAATCAGTGGACCTTTCGGTTTATTGCTGATACTAATAATGATACTGTTCTTTGGTTCACTAACTGTTTATTACCATGTAAAATTAAGTACGAACATTATTGACGGCAAAATTCAAAAGGGGTATTCCAAAATAACCCAAGTTCTTGTGGTTACCTCCATGATTTAACAATAAGGATAACAGTTGGTTCCAACTGAGTTGTTAACCAAGGTTAAACAAGAAATAAATACAATATATGGACTTAGGTATTAGTATGTTTTTGATGATTGAATGTCAAGTGTACTTATTGTTGGATCCAATGAATATATTCAATAACAATGGGCTTCTTCTTCCATGAAAGATCTTTACAAATCCTAGTTATTATTATTACGAGTCATAAATCATGCATCAGGACCCTGCAATCATTAAAAATTTAACATGTCTGTGATAACGTTTTGCTTCTCCTCTGCCATGTCAAATTTCGCTGAGCTAATAAGAATACCTTACAGGGTTTACTTTTAGATCCGAGTCGGGGATCCCTTACATCATTACACATTTTAGCTCTTTCTTTGTTTTTGCTTGTTTGAAAACTCACAGTGAAGAATAGGACCATGAAACTATCCAGTGATCAATTTTTGACGCCATTATTCTACTTATGACCTACATTATCTCGCTCAATTTCAAACCATCCCTGTGCACATTACCCAGAGGTTACCTTTTGTATTTAAAAGAAAACTTATTCCTTGTACTTTTAATATGTTTTAAATATATTATTTATTATTTTGTTTTTCCTCACGGGCCTAATTAAATTGCCATGCGGGCCAAATTTGGATTTGGTCCGCGGGCCGCCTATTAAGAATCAGGGCTCTATACAATTGAGTTAAAATCAAAATAAAAATTTGTAAAACTGAAAATTTTAAAAATGATCTAAACACATTCAAATATATTGATAAATGGTGCATGTTGTGATATGATTATTTATAGAAGCAGCCTGGATAAAGCTAATGACAACAAATTTAAAAATTAATTTAGCAATGAGAAGATCCTCATCTTCTATCTTCATTGTTGTCTTCATCATCATAATACCCACTTTACGCAAGAGGACAGGGAGTCGTCGACAACGGCAATTCGGGTTAAGCGCCCAACTGTTTACTGTGGTCTTCATGCTCTGATGAGCACAGAACAACCATCCACCCGCCTTCCCGTCCTGTTGCGTAAAGTGCCTAATAATCATCTTTGTCAGTCTTCATCTTCGTCATTATCATTGTCTTCGTCATGAACATCAATATAACGTCGTTATCTTCATCGTTGCCACCACTGTCGTTAACATCATCATCTTATAATCATCATTGTCATCATCATCATCATCATCTTCATTCTGTTATGAAAATTATTGAGTCATAGTGTTAGCCAACCTGTGATGACCCATTAACATAGAGAATCTACCGGTCTGCATTTTCTGCAGTTTGTCAAAAGAACAAAACAATTATCAGGTAATTTTTACCCTATGTCCTCTTTCTAATTACCTGGCCATGTACATCCCTTGAATACCCACTTGGTAGAGGCTGACACTGGAGGCTACATGAACTTTTGTGAATCATCAATGTATGGAGTTGTTGGTTGTTCTCATCTTCCACGTTCTTGTCATCATGAAGCAAGAACACCACACAACCATTCTAACATTCAACCATTTTAAAATAGAAAAAAATATTATTTTTACCAAGAAAATTACACATAAAATAATAATTATATAAAAATAATAAATGATATTAATAATAATAGGAATAGAGTACTGGCCGCAGCAGTAGTATTAGAAATAATAATATTAATATCACAACACAGATCCTTTTAGGCACTTTACTTTATGTTCAAACTATGGCAGTGGCATATCTAGAAGTCTTAAAAAATGGAGGGGTGTGCACCCCCCATACCAGATACACCACTGAACTATGGATAACTACTACCACCAGACACAATCCTGGGATTTCCTAATCTAGGATTTTGGGACCAATATGACAATAATAATAATATAACAAATTATAACAAAAAATAATACAGATACCAATAATATTTTGTGTAATATAGTGTTTATTATGTAATAGTAATAGTTGTTTATTTTATAATTACTGTATAGGCCTAAATAATACTTTATTATTTTATTACTATTAGTACTATTAACTGTACTATCATTATGTTTAACAGTGTTGGATTTCAATTTTTTTTTCCCTAGATGAGAATGCTCACCCTTCCGCAAAACCAAACTTGGCAATGATGGATGAAGTCTACTACCGTGGTAACACTCAAGCCAAGACTTATCAAAATGCTGATATCGTCGATAATAAGTGTTACAGGGTTGTCTCCACATCCAGACTCCAATAATCGTTTTGTTATATGTACCAACAATGACTTCAAATCAAACGTAGAATTTCTATAAGAAAAAATAAAATTTTAATGTTGGAATGCTTAAAAATATTTGGTTTTTTTTTAATGTCTAGGAAAACCACAAATTTCTATTTTAGCCCCAAGTAAAAACATTCACAAAATTTAGTTTTAATAATCTAAAATGGGACTCCTTTTACTTAATTAGAATGTGTGCAGTTTTCTTATTTTTAAAAAATGTATTTTTTTGGAAATAACCTTTCTCTTTATAGAATATAAAAAAATCACAAGCAGGATTCTAAAAACAAAATTAATGAAACAGTTGAGATTTTGTTTTGTAGGTCTGATGAAAACTACTCAGCTGTAGAGGGCAGCATTTAGTGAATATGAACAAAACAAGGTTGAAACAGTTTTTAAGGAAAAAAGTTAGGGTGTTTCAATTTGTCAGAGACTGAAACATCGTAACTTGTATGGGGTCTATTTTATATTCGTTTTACTAGATTATTTTGGTGTGAACCGCCGATCTTTTCTTGTTCGCGATTTCTTGTTTGTAGCCTCTGAACGAGTGCATTGCAGGTGCGGTCATGATCTAATTATTAATTTTGTTTAGATTGTTTAAGTGATTCTGATTATTTTATTAGAGTAATAGGGATACTCTTTACATTACGATTGATGAACTTAAGTATGATGTACTAGAGTTATTGCGATTAGATTTATGCTTGTAATACTGTTCGCTCAACCCAGAGAAAATGTTTTCTAAAGATAATGTTTAACCATGAGAAATATAACAAGATTATTAATTAAAATGATATATTAGTAATGACACGAGAGACGGTAACGAGTACTGTATTGATGTCTTATTAATATGATCATTAATATTATTATACTTATATGTAGAGGCATATCGTTGAGTATGAGTTTGAAAATTTATTAAAACGCTCTACCTTAAATTTTCTTTCTTGAGTTTGGGACTATGTGTTATAACTTAGAAGGCAAAGGAGAGCAAGCACAAGCTTTAACATTAAATTTTTTTTTTTTTAATTCTAATTTTGTCGGAATTGATCAAAACTCCCTAAAATGGGCAATTTTTAGAGGAAATTGGCCTACCTCAACAAAATATGCGATTTAAAATTTGAGGTTTTCAGGCACTTTCCCGGGTGAAAAGGGCATTCAATGGGGAAAGACTT